ACTATTTTAGATAGTGATCTGCATCAATAACGTAACCACTTTCGCGGGTTTCTATCGCGGGTTTCACCCTGTCGTAAAATATTTATTCACGTATCACAGGATAAGGAGGTCGTTGGACAAGATTTTATTATTTCTTATCCTTCTTTCATTTATCATATCGTTTTATAAAAAAATGGCGTCAAAATTATCATCAGAGTTATTAGAAATGATATTTAAAAATTTGTATGTTGCTGAATTTAACGGTGATTTCTTCGAACCTGATTTAGGTGCACTATATTCTTGTGTTTTAGTGAACAGACTTTGGTGTAGAATAACGATTCCTATTCTTTGGCAAGATGTTTTTTCATTTGCTTTAGGATCATTACATGCACCTATATATTTCTCGTTTCTTGATCAGGATGATAAAGTGGAATTAAAGGAGAAATACGGGATAGTTGTAAATTACCAACAGGCTGCTTTAAATTATCCTAGTTACCTAAAGAAATTAAGTTTTGAAATGTTATACGAAGCCGCTATAGATTATTTAAATGTAAACGGGAATCAGTCTACGGTAGATTATTTGAATAGTATAAGAGAAAATAAACGATACGTTGAAATGATAGAAGTAGAAGATACGATATGTTTTTTGGAAAATTTATTGATAAAAGTGATGATCAGATGTGGAACAGCTATATCTATGATTGATATGGCTTCTAGCTTTAAATTTCGATCAGAAATATTCAGTCTGATGAAGCAAAATAAAATCTTTTTCTCAAATCTAAACGAATTTATCATATATACCGAGAAAGGAAAGCTTATAGATGAGTCAATCGAATTTTTAAAAATTCTTTCAGAGTCTACCGAATCGATTAAAGTATTAAAAATACACGAAATGGGGATATATGATCAAACTACGTTTATTTACGATTCTCATTCACTTAAAGCATTAATCGGTTTTATTGAATCTCAGAAATCTATAAAGAAGCTTGATATTAGTTATTCCGATTCATTTACGGGCGTGATTTCAGCACTAAACTGTCACTTATCTTTACATGAGATCATTGTGCAAGGAAAATACATTCAAGAATTCAAAGTGTTGAATGATTGTGAAAATTTAGAAGTGCTCAGGATAAAAAGTAGTGAAGCTTTACCATTACTTAAGCAACTGTCAAATAGTAACTGTAGGATTAGAATACTCGATATCTACGCCAGAGTTCATGATATCTTAGACGTGATTTCTTTTTTACAAGAACATGGACCGCTATTACAGCGCTTTAGACTTATGCCATTTGTCGGTTAGTATGATCTACAATATTGTTAATTGTTTAAAATATATCCTTTTATTATATTGATTTAATTTGATCTTTTTAATAGTAAGTAATATATCATTATTTTTATATTTATATTTGTTCATTCATCAAATAGAAAATTACGTCATAATAACATGAATGAACAAGTATATATATTGTTGAGATTCGTTGATAGTTCGATTCTTAGTAACCTGTTTTTTTTTCGAATCCCGAAAACCAAGAGATTAGAAAGAAAAAAAAAAAAAAAAAAGATAACAGGTGAAGGTAAGACCGAATCCTGGTTGATTCGGTTTGGGACTTGAACTATAATGAGATCCATATCTGTTATGTTATCTAGAGTTTATTAACTTGATTTACCAATTTTTGGATTTAATTTCAAGGGAACTACTTTATCTCAAACAAGATTGACACGAACGTTACGAGATTTTTGTCTGAACCTAGAATATTTTGGTTTATCGTCTTTGAATTTTTCAGATCAATTAGTTGATTTTGTTAAAAATTCACAAAGATTACAGTATATTAGTATAGAATGTAATGGTGATGATTCCGAAGAGGTTACGAGACGTAGGGTCATAGAATTCGCAAAATCATTACCACGGAGCTTACATTATCTGAACTGGGGATTTTATAATAAGAAATTGAAATCTGATTATATCGATCTCATACTCGGACATTGTGATGCTCCTTTGAAGAGTTTGTTTTTTGATAATATTAATCAAGAAATATTTGACGCGATAGTTGAATTTCAATCCAGAGTGGGAACCTTAGAATATTGTTGTCCCACCAATGGTCCTAAAAATTATTGGGACGAATTAGAAAATCATGTTAAGATAGGGTGGCACAAGGCCATGCGCGTGCATTGTTAATCTATTTTTTATATCAATAAAAACTTGCAAAATTTTGCGTAGTATTTTTTTCGAATATTTTTGTTACAAGTATTTGTTTTAAAAAGTGTATGACTATTTCAACATTTAAAGTGTTAAACCTTAAAATTTTTTATAAATACAACATGGATTCGATAAAGAATTTTGGGGGAACTGGTACGCAACGTAAGATATGTAACATTCACTACAAGTACATATAAAAATGTTTGAATAAAACAATTTCCTTTTTGAATAAAAATGGCAAAGTGGCGGCTCACGAGAATATAAATCAGCATATCATTTTAATTCAAAAATCTAATAAATAAACAAGTTATATAAATTTCAAATTTATCCTTTTGTAGCCGTCAATGATATGACGCGAGTTAAATAAAATATGAATCAAAAATTAAATTTTGAAAAGGTTAAAGAAGTTTACGATAATCAATTGTTAGTCGGTTCTTATATCCAAGGACGAGAGACCTGTTATTGAGTTCATAAAATCCCGGAAATAGATTATAAAGTGAATTATGTTCGATTGATACTTGATATAGAATCTGAACACGGTCTGTGGTATATACTAGAAGGATTTCTTAATTCCGAATTTATTGAATATGAGCTTACCTCTGAGAAGAATTCAGATGGATCGGACATGGCCAACGTTAAATGCTATTTAATTGAAGAATTCGTTTTTGTAGAGATATTCTATCTCACTTGCTTGACGAAAGACTACTGTTGATCGAAAATGAATACATGAATGAAATCGAAGCGATCTGGACCGATGATTATGACACAATTTACAAGAAACATGTTAAAAATTGGCGGATACTTCATGGGACCCAATAGCGAGAAATTGTATATCTTAAAAATCCTCCTTCAGAAAATTATGCAGTCGTATCACTTGATCTAGACAGATATAAAAATGAACGCGTTTTTTATAACAGGATTACGATAGTATGGTCCTGTATATTGTCTGATAATACAATCCATAGTTCAGATATCGGTTATGTTGAGTCCGAAGACGATTTCGATTTAAACGAGTTCGTAATAATTAGTGATAACTTCGATTTTTCACAATACGTAAATAGTGTCATCAAATATATTCTTTTAAGATAACTTAAATATATTAATTGCAGAAATAACCCAGAATTGGTCAGATGATTTTATATTAACCTGTGGCAATAATATTCCATCAGTGTTTACATATTACATGCCGAATAATAATAAGTTATACAATAGATGAAGACAAATACAGAGGAACTAACTATCCTGAATGGCGTGTGGAATCAGCAATGCAGAAATTAGCGGAAAAAGAGAATTCAGTAATCAGGATCTTTTAAAATATTGCGAATTGAAACAGCAAAGACAAACTATTAGACAACAATAAGAAAACCAAGAGAAGAAAATAACTGAAACAATCAAGATGTATAAGGAATTTAGATATCTATGGATAATAACAAGAAAGAATAGAAAATGGTATCAAAAATATTAGGCTTAACTCCGAATATAGAAAACGAAAAATGTGGAACAATACTTAGCGGAGAAAACAAAATATATATATCATGATTAAAAAAAGAATGAATAATCTCTTAAATATAGGCAGTATCACAAATACTCAATCACTTTAGAAATTAACTGTTTGAATATTATGTCTCAAAAAACTCATAATGACTTAGATATTACCAGCAATAGTAGAGATATGACTCTTGTTTTAAAAGCTAGTAAGAATATTAATTTTAAAGATGATATCATTATTGTTGACAATGAAGATATAGATTTTAATTTTGTCAATAATGAGAATATTGGCTTTACTTTTGATGACAGTAGTGATATAAGTTTTACTTCTGATAATGATAAAAATACAAATATTAATAGTGATGATATAAACTCTACTATTAATTCAAGTAATAAGGATATATCTGTTAAATATAATAAGAGTATTTCAAAATAGAACAGACATAGACAATGCACATCTATTGCATGTGAATTTTTTTCCAAAGAAAAAAATGAAGATCAAGAAGTAGTTGCAATTGTTTGTAATATTTGCAAGAAGAAATGGAAACCAGGTAACACAACTAGAACTTTTGCAATTCACCTTATTAATAAACATCATAGAAATATTTCTCTGAAACAGCAGATACTCTTATGTTTTGTAACTATACTATATATACCAAAAGAAACAAAACAAACAAATGAAATTACTAAAACAATAGTTAATTTTATCATATGTTATCAATTACTGTTTACTGTTGTAGATAATAAGTACTTTAGAGAAATAGTTAGTGTTCTCAATCTATACTATCATGTTTTATGCTAACAAATATTGAGTAATAAAATAATGAGCTAGTTTGAAAATATACAGAAAAAATAATAAATTTACTTGAAAATATTAGCTCAATAGTTTCAGTTACATGCAATATATAGACAGCTATATCTAACCAAGCATATTTG